CTCCCTCCTCCTTCGCCATGTCTCCATTCAGGGCGGGGGGGGGGAAGGACTCAGTGCACCTTTCGAGGGGCTTTCCGGGGCGGCTCGCCCGAGTGCGATGGCAGGGGCGAACCCTCCCGCCCGGGAGAGAGGCCGATGTCCGCCGGGCTCGAGGGCCCAGACGAGTCGGGGCCCATGTCGACCCCCAGGGCCGGGGGGCTTTCGGGGCAGCTTCGTGACCCGGGCGGCGGGGAAGGTGGCGAAGCACGCCGAGCATGCGGCACCCAAGTGATGAACTGAGGCAGAATGCGACGCGGCGGCGGACGGGAGGGTGGCCGCGGGGCGACCGGCGCTGCCGATGGGGGGACAACCCCGCTGGCCTCATCCGACACATGAGCCCCAGCCGCCGAGGTGACAATGGCTGCGGCCGCGGTGCCGGGGTCGCGATCAGGCTCGGGGCCCCACCACCCGCGGGTGCGCAGGTGCGTTTCCAGAGCCGGCGCACTGGCACAGACAACCGGCTGCCCGCGCCAATGCCGCAACAGGCCCAGCTGACCGAGGGTGGCCACCACATCCTCCGGGCGGATCCCCGTCAGCTGGGACAGGGCTTTGACCGAGGCCGTGGTCGATGTGGGGCCGGGGATGGCCAGCGTCGTCACCGGGACGGCCACCTCCGGCTGGCTGGCCAGCAGGTTGAGGATGGACACCGGCAGCTTGGGCATCGGGGCGCCCCCGGAGGCCGGGGCCACCAATGCCACCAGCCCTGCTGGCGACAGATCCGGCGGGACATCCGTCGGATCCAAACCCAAAGACAGCGCCAGCAAGATGGGCAGAAGGGCCCATGCCCAGTAGGAGCGATAACTCAACAGCCCGAGATCCGACAGGGGGCGCTCGGGCCCGCCGACCTTCTCCTCGAGCTTGGTCAGCTCGTAGCCTGGGGGAGCATATCCACGCGAGACGCCCCGGAGGGTGGCACAAGCAAAAAAAAAAAACCAAGAGAAGGAGGGATCCAGAGTGGGGAGGGGATGGGGACATGGAGAAGGAGTAAGAAGCTTGCGGAACCCGAAGCACGGCAAAGCAACCAGGGGAGCCAGGGCGCACTGAATTGGATGAGCATGTGCCCATAGCCGCGGCGCTGGAAGGGCGGCAAGGTGAGGATGCACGCCACATTGTTGCCCTCTATCGAGTGCCGCTCCTTGCTGAAATAGCCGACAATGTGGTGGCGCTCGTGGGCCTGCGCGGCACCCTCAGCGGCGCCGTGCTGTGAAGGGGTCGCCGCGTCCGTCTTGGTCGGCGACAGGGTCTCGATCTCGGCCATCACATAGAAGAGGAAGGGCTCCACGTCATAGTAAAGGGTCTTGTGATCGAGAAAGAGCTTCCCCAGGAGGCACAAGTTTTGGCAATATAGCTACCACGTAAGGGGGCGCGCCGCAGGGTTAGTAGCCAACAGACCGGCATGCAAGGCGCGGGCCCGGGCATACCTTGCTCTCCTTGCCATCGATCTCGAAGAAGGATATCCCATCGTGGCGATAGATCTCGGTCCCGAGAGGCCGGGTGTAGGGGCACTTGATCTGTGAGAGGGTGGGAGGGGGGGATCGGTTAGTGGATCGGCGAGGGCACATGGAGAGCGGGGAGGAAGAGCGAGAGGGGAAGATGGGGCGGGACGGAGGGGAGGGGGGGGGGGAGACTCCCGGACCTTGTGCCGCTCGTAGGTCACCGGCGACCGCATGTACTTCAGGCAGTAGGGGCAGATGAAGAGGCGCCGAGCCCCGGCAAACTCGTCCGGGTAGGGAGAAAAATACCAGGCGTCCATCTCATGCTTGCCGAGGACAACAGCATCGATGTTTCGGACCTTGGTCACCTCTTCGTGCTCGCGCTCGAGAGCCGCGGCCGTGGCGTCCGGCGATCCGGCCACCACGCCGAGGCCGGCGCTGCTGGCAGCCGCCGAACTCAGAGACGAGCTGGAGGCGGCGTGTGCCGCGAAGGCCGCCAGTGCCGGCGACGCGGCGGCCGCCACCGCCAGCTCCCCCGGGGCCTGGCCCAGCAGGGCATCATATTGGCGCTTTTGCCCACGGGTGAGGGTGCGCCCGGCCTTTGGGATCAAGCCACCAGCTCGACCAGGCGTGATTGTGGAGGCCACAGCCAACAGGGGTGACGAGGGGGAGAGGCCCACGGCAGGCGGGCCGGCAACCGCAGATGTGGCCGTGCAGTTGGCCGGGGCAACTGAACCCGCTGCCAGGCCGGGCGTGGCGGCGGCACTTGGGGCTGTGTCGAGAACCGCCTCTGAAGCAGTGGCCATGGTAGTGGCAGCGATGGCGGTGGCGGTGGCGGTGGCGGTGGCGGTGGCGGAGGCGGTGGCAGGCCCGATGGCACTGGTCGCAACACCGGCAGCGACACCAGCCGCAGGCCCGCTCGAGGTGGCTGTGGGAGGGAAAGGGGGGCCCGGAGATGCAGGGCCAGTGGGAGGTGCGGCCATCGAGGGGCCCGGGTGACCCTCCGGGTAGAGAAGCTGCGACGCGGACACCCAGGTATCCATGCGCTTGTTGACTGGGAAGGGAGGAGTCAGCGAGGGCCGACTGGTGGAGAGGG